TTCGAGTATACATTCCTTCGGCTCACTGCTTCCTCTGTGGTCCCTGGCCCGTACCGCCTACCCCCCTCCCCTCTCCCCTCTCCCCCAACCCCCCTCTCCTCTCCAAGTCCTCTCCAAGCCCTCTCTCCACCCCCCCTCCTACTCACGACTTGCAGTTCCCACAGGGGACCGGGCCAAAGCAAGCAAACTCCTCTGAGGAAGTCTTGAAGGGAGAGAGAGAAAAGAGAGAAAGAGAGGAGGAAGAGGGCTGTGCTATTGCCAAACGCAGTAGCCAAAATGTACTCAAGTAAGAGTATTGTTACTTCAAAATAATTAAGTAAGGAAGTAATTTGGTGGAAATAAAAATATGGCATGTTTTAGTTTTGATCTACAAAACAATTTCCACATTTTTGGAATAGTTGTTAAAATTGTGTACAGGTTACGCATATTCTCTTACAAGTTATTTTTTTTTCAACTTCATTCAGTAATGTAGGTTATATGCATGCCTATTAAATGCAGTACCCAGCCTTGCCTATACATATCCCAGTACAGTCGGACGTGCAGTTGGACCTATTTGGAGAAGGGAGGGCCCGAGTGGTTAAGGGGGCCGGTGTTATGTCTCGCGGAGGCCTATGCTATGTCTATGGAGCTGCGACTCCCTCTGCTCTCCTGCCTATGAGGTCAGTGTCAGATTTAGCCAGCAGGTCCCTTGTGGTGTCTGCCTGGGAGTGTCTGTTTTTTTCTTGACTTGCTATTATGTCTAGCAAGCGTAGCCTTCCTGGAGCTCGCGAAAACCTCAGGGTAGAAATAGTCACCAGACAAGCACACATCCTCTATTGTTGAAAGGGCAAAACAACAGTAATTAAGGAGGCTGATTACCGGTTTAGTCATAGTGTATTGCAAATTTTGTGTTGGTTTGGTGCGGGTTTGAACTTGGATTGGATAGTCATAGCTTGTTCTCAATAATGTTGGTTAAATCTAGCTAACCCAAATATTTTGTGCTATATTCCTGGGTTAATTTAAGTTTAAGTTGTTTTAGTTTAGTGTTAGTTCTGTTTTTTTATTTTTTTTTTATCTTAGTCCTAGGTTAATATTCTAGTAAATTGTTAGTTTATTACTAATACAACTGGCACTGGACACATTTACAATGCCATTAACATGTCATAACTAGAGAATGATTACGGGCATGGTTGCATCCACATGAAAAAATAGACAGAATTTGCATGTCGTATCAGAATTTTATCAGATTACTCACATCAGATTTTAATAGTTACCCTAGACGATGATAAGATAATTGGTGTCAGTTTAAGATGATTGTTATATGTAGTTCATTTGTATTAAGTCCAAGTTCAATCATATACTGGGTTAGTCTCAATTTTGTCATAGGTTACTCCTGTTTTAGCCAAGCCTTCTAGGAGTGGACAAAAACCTCAGGCTATAGAAATAGTCACCAGACGAGCACACATCACATCCTTATTGTTGCCTGGGAACACTACAGGCCATAATTACAGCGTCTGATTACAACAGAAGCCAACCGCAGTCCATAGCAGTCAGTCAGAGGGGTCAGTGTCAGCAGGAGGAGGTTAAAAGACTTAACCTACAATAGTGAAACTCCCGCTGTGCCGCCTGTCTGCCGCAGCGCTGTAGTAATGCGGTTTCTGGTTAGACAGGTACAGGAGACATGAGAGGAGTGTCCAGACAAGTGTCACGGATACCTAAGCCTTCAGAAACTAGAGCCGCTAACACAATAGAGGCGGCTATGATCTGCACTTACATAATGGGTATTGTAGTCATGCTGTTGGGTGTAATATAGGCCAATAAAGCAGGTCCGGAAAAGAACAAGGTGCACAAGTAGGTGTTCCCAGCCAACATGATGAAAATGTCTGTGATGTGGATAATGGTGAAATAACAATACTATTTACATAACTCATTAAAGTAAGATTGGTAGTCTTTGATGAATAAACGGTACTGCCAAATAACTGAGGTCTCAAAATGGATCTGTAAACCTGTCTGAACTCAATCACCTTGCCTGTTGCCTTTAGCTTATCTTGTACTAATTGCAACACCTATTACCAGTACATAATTACATATTAGCTGCATATCAAAACACGGTTATTGTTCTCTATGGAAGTACGGACTTAGGCAGCAAACATGCTGTAATAATTTGTTGCCAGTTACTATAATCATTTGTGTAAAGAAAATGTTTGGTCATGGTTGACAAAAAAAATTTTGACACACAACTTATATGTCAAGATCAAAGTATAATTTACATTTATACTTTTTTTTTTAAATGATTAGTTAGGAAAGTTACAAGCTTTCTGTGTATCCAAAACCTGAATGCATAAAGAAATAACAATAAGCGAATGTTGTATGCTATACGTAGATCCCAATTCAAATCAAAATGGGAGTTAGAGCTTAATTTTATTGTAACAATAGAAAGCAATGATAGTTTAGGTCCTGGTTTGATTTTAGCATTACCATTTAGTTGACTGTACCCGCTAGTCGTGCAGTGGAGGTATGTTGCCACCCTCGCACACAGTCCCACACACAAATGTCTCCTCCGCCCCCCTCCGTCCCACACGTGGTCCACACATATGCGGCGAGCGTCTGGCCTCTCAGCACAGCCGTGAGACGTGATTCATTACAGAGCAGTCTTTCTTCTCACTTTATACTAAATGAGCTCCGTCGTTAATTCCCATCTTGAGGTGATTACAGCAAGCGCCTATTAAGCAGAGGTGTAGCCAAAACTTGCACTTAAGTGAGAGTATCTTCAAATAGATATGTTGTTCTCAATCTCAAGTAAAGAAAATTTATGCAATACCCTCATCTGTTTGGAGATAGATCTGATAGGTATGTTTTTGACTAGATTTATCAGGGACAATGCACATAAAAAAGAGTAAATAGTTTGTCCCAGGTTACAGCAGATTTGCTGATTTCCACCTGCAGTAACAAGACATAAATTTTATTCATGTGTATTCTAAACCACACAACATAAAACAAAAAAAAAAAATACAACTCACATGTTAAAATCAATCAAGCCAATAATTCAGCAGTGCTACTTAGTATTGCTACTTACAAATGCACACAAGTTCAAGTTAACATGTTGTGATGGAGGAGCTCATTGTTGGGCAGAGCATTCAGGCAAAATGTAGTAAATGCTAATACTATTTTACGACTATGGCCAAACCCAGCCGGCGCATTTTCCATTGAGCACTAAAGGTTCAGTAGACACATAGTAATCATTTGAATTGTACACACAGACAGAGAGCAGATCTGGGAGTGTTTGCCGTTTCCCAGAGGCGAAATGTCATAGTAGTGAGTAAGTGAGCGGCAGACAGGTCCGTGCCGGTCGGCGAGCTCTCCTAGGTAAACAATATCCTGTGTCTGACAAGTGCAAACCTGAGGGAGGGTTGAGGAGGTGAACTGTCCTACCACACATGCACTTACCCACGGGACAAAGGCGTGTTTCAAAGGGATACCGCTGCTTTGAAAAAATGTTACAAGTTGACAAGACATGGGAAAGAAAGTGAAGGTGAAAAGTTTGTATATAAAGATTATTTTTTGCCAATTTGCCAACCTCAGTATTATTAAAGGTGTAATATTAAAAGCATTCAGTTAATATGGATGTTGTGTGAGTGAGTGACAGGTCATGGCAGAAACTGGCAGCCTCACAACCGCCAGTCTACCCTGGGGCAGCTGTGGCCATATTTTAATATCACAGATTATGGAATGAATTAATAATGCTGCACAAAATATCAAGCACCTATATATAACTAATGGATTATTATTATTAAACCTAGGTGTGCTTTTCCAAATTACAATAGTCTGCCATGAGTCTACTTTTGAGATCCTATGAATTCATTTTTATGAGTTTGTCTATTGACTTTATAGTGCAGCATTGAACAAAACAGTTAACATAAACCTACAGTACCTTAATCAACACAATCTCTTGTAAATCTCTTTGCTCACTCTTCTGTTCTTTACTACCACACAGACCGTGGTGTTATGCGTGTGCTGTATCACCAGTTACAGTATGTCAAGCCAGTGTAGAACCAGCCAATGGAAGCAATAACTTATAATTTCTTGCTCTTTATGTAAGTATAAGATTGTCCAAAGCAAAAAAAAACAACAACAAATAAATAAATGAAAAGGTGTAATCTTAAATCAGTTATCTTTTTCAAACAGATCGATTTAATAATTTTCCCCTTAAGCGTTGCCCTCTTGCTTGTACTTTACCACAGCATTAACTACATGTAGCACTTGACTAAGAAAATCTAACCTGCCTTTAAATATTTCACTACGGTGTATCCTGGATTAACATACTACTCTTTGAAGCACTTGTTCAGATCAAGTGTCTTGTCAGATCCGAGTGCTATATTACTTGACTACAATCTCCCTGTCTGTCTGGCCCTGTCTGTGCATTGCAATATTTCTGTGGTCGGGCCCAGTCGATGTGCTCCACCTGACGGCGCCTCCTCTGGCTGCCAGGGAGCAATGTAGCCCGTCTGGCTGCCATCCAGACCGGCTACAATGTCTGCTTAGCTCAAAGCCAGACTCAAAATGCACACACCACTCACATGTTAGCCTGGCTCAAACCTTACAAAGCTTACAAAGATAGCTGCCATTTTTTCTCCACTGCCTTTGTCTCCTCAACAGATGCACTGACTTGCTTTCTGTTCATTGCACAAGCTCACAAGACTATTTCACAGAAATAACACAGTGCCCATTCAAGGATAGGAGAATGAAAAGTTAAATGGAATTTATTATAATACACAAAAACATCATAGTTGACAAAATAATATGAAATAATTTCAATTAGAAGATAAATATTTAGATACAAAATTACAAAAAGTGAATTACACAACCTTTCCTCACATTATGAACAATGCATGATTAATACTACTGTAGGTATTTTGGTTTTGGGCTCCTCAAATATCCACTGCGCCTCTCATCTCCTGTGCATGATATAACATCCTTATACCAATGATTAACCACCTTTTTCTTTCTCTGATCCTCCACAGTCTCCCAGCCCCATCCCGGCAAAGAGGTCCAAACTCGACAAGTTACTCTCATCTTCGGCTGAAAAAGACCGTAAACCCGAGTGGCTGCAGTCTCTGTCGAAGTCTGCTCATAAGGTTAGTCGTGAGTGTGGTGAAGATGTTGTCAGTGTGAAACAGGATTTGACTTTAAGCGTAAAGGTCAAAGGGGTGACGCAAAGGCTGCTGTCGTCTTGAATCATCACACTGGCGTCTCTGTGTGACCTCTACAGCGGAAGTGCTCCTACAGTGTTGTAGTTATGGTTACTGTACTTAATGTATGCATTATAGCTGTTTGAAAAAGACTGGGTGTGTATTTAGTATAACATGCATGATTTGCATCATATGGCTTTCTTATCAACAGAGTAGGTCACACCAAAATGTCAATTTTAAGTAATACCATTCACATGTGTTGTTATACTAGTTATATTGAAACCAAACATTGTAAAACTATTTAGTGAAGGTCCAACTCTTATTTTTTCATACCTTTTAAAAAGACTATCATTAGTCATTGGTTTACAGCTGATAACAAAATTATAGGAAAAGTTTATTTATACTTTTCTTGAATTTATGTATTGATGCTTGTTCTACTTGTAAGATGTACTGCTGTATGAGTGTGATTTATAACAGGCACGTTGTTAGCTTTTGGGTAATGCAGGTTTTGACATTGACATTGTTCTGTTGTTTTCTTTGCTCTGCAGGATCTTAAACAGGTCCAACTGAAACAGAGACCTTCTGCTTTCCGGCCCTGGTCTCCCAAAGCAGTGGAAAAAGAGAAACCACCCATTCAGAAAGAAGAGAAGTAAGTGAAGCAAAAACACATGCACTTTTACTTTGAAAACTGTTACAAATATTAACAGCCATTCACTTTGGTCTAATCCAGGCCCTACTCCAGAAATGAGGAAAACGGAGCAGTACCCAACATGGCTCCTGTGGTCCCTCCAGTGCATCCTAGAGACAGCCATGCTCCAGGCAGGGGGCCCAATGCCATTTCCAAGCCCCCACACGAGCTGCAAAATGGGGACGCCAAACCCAAGCTCAAACCAGCACCAGCCTCCAGTTTGAACAATAACAGCAGAGGAGAAGACATGGACACAGACGGAGAGATAGACGTGGACGACTGCAATGAGCGTGAGTACAACAGTAGCAGCCATTTTGAAGGGAATCTACATAGAACATGGAAAAGGTGCAGAGAAGCTTGTGGAAAAATGTTGGAAGAGCTGGAAAAATATGAGGCAGGGGGATTCCAGTACAACTGCACCATCAGCTGGTCAAAGGTGGAACTACAGGGAGATTAGCTTTCACTTCAAATGTATTTTGTTGAACTGTTAAGTGTTGATAATACAATTTACTTAGTTCAGCTACTTTAATTATGAAGATATGATAAATTACACTGTCAAGTAAATATGTATGTCACCAAAATTGAAAACTATCAGTGAATAATAAAGTTAAATACTCGGTAATAATTTTAAAAATATTTTTTTAGACAGTAGAATATAATTTTCCTGTTCTTTAAAATAAAAAATAGTTTTTATATATTTATAGCCATTTATTTAGCTCCAATATAGATAGATCAAGGTAGGATCAGTTTTATGTCTAGTTTTAGTTTTAGTAAGTAATGTAACTTTCAAATGTATTATTATTTCAATTTTTTAAAGTTGTTTCGGGCCATTTCTGATTTAGTATGTTTATACAGTGGAGTGACATGTACTAAATTTAAATGTATTTTGTCCTCTCCTCCAGACCCAGTGACATCTTCGTCCCTCCCCTCTCCGCCGTCAGCTTGCAGTAGTGTGTCCCAGACCATGACCACCCAGACCACCCCTCGGTCTCAGGATGGCCCCGTGTGGTTACCGGGGAGCATCAGTCCGGAGATGGACAGTTTGAGGCAGATGCTCTATGGAGGTCTGGAAACCAAAGAGTCTAGAGAAAAACTCCTCCAGGAGATTGTCCGGATGAGGGTGAAGCAGGAGGAGAAGCTAGCTGCAGCGGTGCAGGCAAAACGCAGTCTACAGCAGGTATGCTATTGGCTAATAGCCATTTCAACTCAGAAAAAATATCCAGATATTTGATAGTGTTAGCTAAATATTAATGAAACAACTAATTTGAGCACACATATTTTAATATAATTTAATAGTAAATATAAAAACACCCTATATTTTGAAATTACAAACAAATTTCACATTGAACTTTTTAAAAACTTGAACTGAAAAATATAGATTTTTCAGCACTAATTAGTCACTGTAAATTGAGATTGTTTCCTCTCTGTCTGCTTTATCTAATTTGCTAAAATAAGAAATTGAAATTGAAGTTATCTGTAAACATTATAAACATGCAATGCTTTATGTACATTACAGGAGCTGGAGTTTGTGCGAGTGGCTAAGAAGGGTCGTCTTCGTGAGGCCATTGAAGCCAAGCGTAACCTGCGCAAAGAGATTGAGCGTCTGCGTGTGGACTGGGACAGAAAGATGAGGGAGGCGGAGGAGTCGTGCGGGCGCCTCAGACGAGAGCTGGAGCAGGAGAGGCAGCTCCGAGTGTGTGACAAAGGCTGTGAGGCCGAGCGGATGAGGGCCAAGTACTCCACTCAGGTGAGAAAGAGAGAGGGGAAATACTGTTTAATCAACTCTGCTTGTCTCAACAAGGGCTGGGAAGTATGGTAAAAAAAAAAAAAAAAAAAAAAAATTATATATATATATATATATATATATATATATATACACACACACACACACACACACACACACACATACATACATATATATAAACAATTACGTTTCCTCTTTGGTTGATTATGTTTGATTCAATCTTTATTTTTATACAAGAAATAGCTAATTTAGCACACACAAAAATGCCAGTCTATTTTGCAAAGTGTTGACTGATCTGTTGATAAAAAATATAAAAATAACACAACAGAAATATATCATATTAAATGAATAGCACAGTCCTAGTTTCAATTAGCCCATCATCATTCAACAGGTCTGACCCAAGAATGCATTTTAATTGAAATGCATGTGATTCAGTATAAAAGTTCCTATTTCAGTCCCCTCTCAAATGTTAATGCTCGCGGACTGTAAAATGAAACTCGATTTAAAAACATGAATGACAAATCTCATGGCAAAACTGCTCAGAAAAAATGCTATTTTTTTTTCCAAAATCGTACAGGACTCCTACAATAACCTCTCCTTTCATTCTCCCCTGTGGTGTTATAGATCAAGGATCTGCACATGCAACTGCAACAGGCCGAAGCCGATCGTGAGCAGCTGAGGCAGGAGCTACAGCAGGAGAGAGAAGCGCGTCAGAGTTTGGAGAGCGTAGTCAAAGAGCTACAGAGCCAACTGTCCCTGCAAATCAAAAACAACATCCACCACAACATTAACAACAATATCAACAACTGCGCATCTCCAGATGCTAAAGAGGCTACCAGGGAGGCTCAGAGCTCACAGAACACCTGCAAATCCTAATACTTCACAATCATTCATTTACAGACTCGAATCCAATGAGATTTACCAAGGACTGCGCTGAATCTTTCTCTGTAAGGAATAAAAGATCAGCTAGATAAATGCAACATTTGGTAGAGAAGCGGACTGTCACATATAATATAAAATGATACAAATGGATATTATTATGATGCTATATAGGTTTTATAAACTGGAATGCATGATTTCTGAGCATGATGTTACTGAACTTTTTCACATCTAACTCCGTTACAAAACCCTGTCCAAGGACTCTCTTTTATTATTTCGGTATAATATAAGCTATTTTTAAAAATGTGCAAATACAGCCACATAACACTACTTGAAAATGAAGGGAAGAAGAAACCAAGTCAACCATGACGAAATGTTTTTGGTGCCACAACAATGAACTGGTACACACCACTGGAAACCAGAGACACCAGTTTGCCACTATTTACTTTTAATAACCGCTTGCTTTTTATAATTGCGTTGAGGATGGACGTATTAAGAATTATCGCTTGCACCATTATTCCACAAAAGGCAAGAGAAGACATTCATATTGTATGCATGTATACCAGCTTGTACTTTTTGTATTGTATCAACCTGAAGTATTGGAGTTTGTAGTGGGCTGCGTTCAAGTCCACCACCGTTTTATGCTTTTAGGTATTTTAACGGAAGTGTTACTTTTTAATATTCTTCTTATGCAACTTTAGTTTGTGGTTTGTTTCCCAGTTATTTGCAACCAAATGTTACATGTATGAATAGCAATTATTCCCACCCACAGATTTGTCAAGCCTTAGCCCGGTCAGCCATCCTAATTACGTTTGTCAAATAACTGTTGCTTGTATTTGATTGTTAGTTGTTTTCAGGCCGTTAGCAAGATTACTAGAGAATTGTTGACTTTTATAAATAACTGGTTAATGACATGCCAGGGCAAAGTAAGAGTGAAGAAAACTGTTTATGAATGAAGTTTATTAAGGATTGTGAGGTTGTATCTTTGACCCTATTTCAGTTCACCTAAGGTCTAAAAGCACTTCACGGCCTATGCAAAAACTGTGTATGGTCCCTTGAGTTAGATGTTCAGGGGGAGGGACGAAGAAACATGATTGGTGACTGGTACAATGACGATAAATGAATGTAATGTCCATCTAATTGGAGAAGATACAAGATGGCTGGCCAGACTACAGATGCCCTTAAAAAAGACAAAAAACAAAAATCTTTTGTTGCAATGTGGTACTTCTGATTTTGTAACGAGTATTGTAAGATAATTTATATACTATAATATAATTGCTGCCTATCAACAGAAAGCATTCATTTTTAGTCACTGGTTGTAGAGCTCTTAAATCAACAAATGCTGTTTATAAGAACAACATTTCTACATACTATATAAAAAAATATGGATATATTTTTGTACTTAAAAAAGAAAAAGGAATTGCACTTTTTAACAAAAACAAAACCTTGCATAGCGCATTGTAAAACTGTTACATTTTCAAACCACACAGACTTTGAATTAGAACACACTTCCTCTCCTGTAAATACAATGTAAATAAGATTCTTGTCATTATGTTTGCTTGCTCCAAAATTGATTATTATTTTTCGCTTTTTACTTGAAACCAAAAAGAAGAGAGTATATTAGGATTTGCAATCACAGAGCATTCTGCAAAGTGGATGGTTGCTGAATGCACAGAAGAGAAAAGAAATGTTACCACACCACCAATGTAATATTATACAATTCCCCTATTCGTTTATTTGAGAATATGTATGTATTATTTGCTGCGTATGGAATATATCTGTAAGACCACAGACCAAAATCATTCAGAGGTGCACCCACGGCTGGTTTAGGTGCTGTCCTATTAACTTCTATGTCTTACCATTATAAAAAGCCCTCATTCAGTATTTGTTGGGTACAGTGTAATAGCAATATTCATATTGATAGATGATGCTGTTGTAGTTTTGGTTTGGAAGTGGGATTTCACTTGACTCTTGTTTCAATGTTTTCTTTTACCTTCAGAAAACTTGTATACTGCCCATTAAAAGTTTATTCAATGCTATAGTGTTGTTTGACTCAGTCTTTTTGGTGTAACAAATCAAAATGCCAACTCTTTGCAACATTTTTTCCCTATCAGCTTCTCCTTTCAAGGATAACCCAACAAATTATTGAATGAAAATAGTTCAAGTACAAATCTCTAAAGACACAAGAAAGTGGAAGCGGTGTGAGCAGATCTACTACCCTCACTCCAGACACCTCTACCATCTTCTTAAAGAGGAATATGTGAAATAGCTATGAGTTGAGCTACTATTGTATTATATATTGATTAACCCCGAGGCAATACTCATACAAAAAATACATGAAGGAATTACCTGACATGACAGAATGCCAGTAGAAAATGGTTGTCAATGTATGTCAAAGTATTTTTCTTTTAAAAAAAAAAAACTGTCTTCTGATCTTGGCATGTCATTAAAGGCCATAGATAGTCCTAGAGCCTACTACAAATTAACTTTGGTTTCAGGAAAGTAATTAGGCAACATAAACCAAAGAATAATATGTATTTATTTGTAAGATGTTGTTAGTAAATATTTCTATGCAGCATTTCTATGAAACTCATAACGGGACAGATTATCAGGTTTATCAGGCTGACAAATGAGGGTGATGTACATAAATCTAAAAGAGTAATTAGTGTCTCTCAATATGTATGTTTTATCAATATCATTTATGCAAGGTGCGTAAACACAGTGTAAATATAGACAGCAGCAGTAGATCGTAGAGCTCAATGACAAACATGCCATGTGAGGATGTTTTACCGCATTTTTTGTCTTCGACAAAAAATTCTCATAACTCTCAAATGTCTGAAACAAAACTGACTTGTGTCATAGGACTAAACAGGATCTGAAACCAGCAAATGCCAGTGCGAAAAATGGCTCATAAGATTCAATGTTCACCCACCCACTATATGACGCCCATTTTAAGCCTCCTACAAGCATACATTGTCTTCCATTCTCTCTGGACGAAACACATCACCCACATTGCCCACTACAATCACAAATGAAGAAAGCGATTGTAAAAGGAGTAAGAAACAAAATCTGTCAAGCCAACTATGTGACACAACCTTGGTTAGTCATGAGAATTCACACAGACATGTGTTTTTACAGCATTTTAGACATATATGTGAGTTTCATCCCAATTGGACCAATTCTGGTGACGTGAGCAGTTTTGTATACACTGAGCGTGTTTTGGAAATTTGTGTATCCATTGACTTTCATCATAAACTTATGCTTATTATATCATAAACATTTTACATAATTGTATGTAGTTTTCAACAGGAAAACATTTTTAGGCTTTTAATAAAGGGGGTTGTCAAAATAGCCATTTTATAATGGGAGTCTATGGAGTGCAACACAACAAAACTTTGCCTTTATGCAAAAACAAAAAAATACACCAAAGTCAATCTTCCCACTAAATATCCACACTGATAGGCCAGTCACACTAATAATAACCAGAGTAAAAAATAAATAATATATATATATATATATATATATATATATATATATATATATATATATATATATATAATATATATATAATTTGAATTTGAATTTGCTGGATGTTGTATTGGGCACAAACTGGCATCTAAATGGTTAATTATTTATGGTAATGCATTGAATTAATATATTATTGGAAAGAGAACCCCTCCAAGAAAAAATGTAAAAAAGGAATTTTGAAACTTATTAATCTTTGACGATTTCATGACAGTTTAAAAACTAAAATACACAATCTGTATGAAACACTCACTTTTTTTTTCTCCCAAAACAAAAAATGACCTGAAGTGCATATTCACACTGAACAGCTACACTGATAGGTCAGTCATACTGGTCATAGTGAGAGAAAGACAATAATATCTGTTATTATGAGATTATTGGGTTTTATTCAAAATGACTGTAGGTTGTATATGACAAAAAGTGACATCTAAGGTGTTAATCATTTTTGGTAACTTACAAAGTAAATATGTCATCTTGAAGAGAACCCCTTCAGGAAAAAATATATATATCTTTGAAAAATATAAAAGTTTGACGATTTTATGGCAGTTTAAAAAACTAAATACACACTGAACATCGCACTGATAGTAAAAAAATAAATAAAATTACTATAATGGAATTATCTTTTTTTTCAAATAGGCAGTAGGTGTTATGTTGCACATACTGGGGTTAACTAAGGGGTTAATAAATTATGGGAATCTGTAATCCCAAAATGCCGTTTTGAAGAGAACCCTCTCATGGAAAAAAATGGCAGTTTAAAAAACAAAATACACAATTTGAACAAAACACTCCCAGTGTACCCACATTTTCAACAAGGCACAAGGGTTAACTTGTTTCACCCAGAACAAAAACCCTTGAACCATCCACGCCTCGTTACAATGTTGCCATTAAGTGCACTTTTCAGCAGTATCTTACCACCTCCTGGAGGTGTAATAGTAACATTTTGTGAAGCTCAGATAATGACAAAACAATTTCAGAATTTGATTTGGGGGTTGTTTATGTTTTGCAATCCATTTACAGTTTCAAAGCATATTATAATAACAACAAAACATTATATATATATTATTTTTGGCAACATATTGAACACATTTGTCCATGTTCTCTTATAAGATAGCGTTGAAGTTAAAATACCTGTGGCAGCTTGTGGTCTTTTAAACAGGGGATAAAATGTATTGTTTATTTTTTACAATCAGTCTGTGAGATTAACATAATTCAACAAATTAAAACAAGAAGTCCTACACATGGAACGGTAGGCCTATTTGTATTAAATGGTGGTAGTGCTTAATAAAGCAAATTTAAGACTCCTGTGCTTAGAAAAACGAAAGTACTGAAGTAGCTTTTAGCTTTCTGTTTTGACAACTCCGTCTCTGTATAACAGCTTGTAAAGCACAGACGTTCCACCTCCTGGTCACGGCTGTTTGACTCTTGACAGACTGAGAACATAGTTGTAAAGTTACATCATGGCGCATTCTGCCTCTGTGCACCTGGAAACGATGTCGTGACATTTTTGGCAACAATCCTAACCATAATCACAGCCTAATAGCACACCTGCTTTTCCCCTGAACCATTATTATCATTATTCCTCCGCTCCTCGTAAATAACCAAAAATCTAACAGGTTAATCAGGAAACATCCATCCCCTGTAGAGCAATAATTAGTTTAATACAATGTGACTTTTACATAAAAAACATACTTACTGAAGAGGCTTGTAAGAAGTAACAAACTACTTTTTTTTTCAAGTTCAAATCTTAGAAGTCTTCAAAAAGTTTGCAACCTTGACCTAACCATCCATGGTTATGATTTTTATTTTTTTATTATTATGTTTCTTTAATAGTATAAAGGATTTATTTTTTCTTTCAATACTGATTGTGGCTGGGCTTTATTTCACATTTATAATGATTTGGCAATGTGTAAGCATGATTACACTTTCTGCAAGGTGTAAAAAAAAAAGTCAAGGTAAATTAAGTGATACAGAAATATCTCAATTGTTGAAATAGAGCTCACGACCTCCACTGGGAACAGCCTTGATTTTGCAAGATAATGACAGCTTTGATGATTATGTATTGGTGAAGTATTTCAGAGTGAGAAATTACTTATTTTATTCAACACTTCAAAACTGTGATTTATCTTTGTATCTGCCCCTATTCTGTTTTGGTGTGGGTTTGAATCACTGCCCATATTCACGGTGGAACACTACTTGCTTGGCTGTGTTCGGCTTCTAGCTTTTCCTAATAATAAATCAGTTTTAGACAGTCTGCAGTAAATGTTTTATCACATTTGAAAAATATAGCCTTATAAGTGCAGTATGGAAAAGCCAACAGTGTAAATTATAAAGCCCTTATATCGCACATCACAGCTTTCTTTCGTTGGTATTCATGCACTTTCTCTTATTTTGTGTCATGCACAGTAACCACCTCTAGAGGGACTCACAGCACACAGTTGTTGTCGTAGGGCTGCAGCTACACCTTGTGCTCATGCATTGTATTGTCAAAACTACCAGTACAACATACAGTATATAAACAAAAGAAAACTTACATTGCATACCTCTGTCTATTCTGAAATAGTCCTGACCAGTTGTATATTGTATTGTATTATATTATATTATATATTGTCTCCCAGTCCCTCTCTACTTCAGAGGCTTACAAGCTGCGTGTAAAATCCCTCCATGAAAGCAAGCCTCACTACAGGATTACTGCCTCAAAGAGACTTAAGGAATGACACGTGTTGCACACTTACTACCTGCAAACTATAAGATAAAATGGACAGACAATATTTTAAAATATGGAGTTGTACTGGACAAAAGAAGATGAAATGATGAGACTGGAGATGGACTTTCTAAACAAGGAAACAATAAGAGAGGGAAAAAGTGACTTAGTGAATGTTACTTGCTTTGCTTAAATGAACAACTTGGAAATGAGCGACGCAGCTGCAGCAATGGCTCCTCTGTCTCCAGGCCTGAGTGGCAGCCCACAGCCTCCAAATTCTCCCAAGAAATCTCCAATTCAAAGTCTTGGATCTATATCTCCGGGAATGCTGTCCCCTGCTATGGCTAGAGCAAATTCCAATGAGGAAGCAAAATCATCTTTGAGTGTTGCCAACTCACCCACTCATTCAATCATGAGCTCCCCAAAACTATGGCATAAGAAGTCCATATGCAGACTGGCAGAGGAGTTCTTCTGGATTGGAGGGAGTGTGGTGGCACAGCCCAAATGGAGACTGGGACAGATAAGTGAGTAAAGTCATTTTATAATGTTCATCTGAAATAATTATTCATGTTCATGCATCTCATGGAAAGATCACATCTTATTGTTGATTACTGTCATCAGAAAAACAAAGCACAGAATATTGTAGCAGCAATGTAAGTAATATAAGTGGTAGTAAATAACATGTATAAAATATAATTTCTTCCTGCAAAGAATATAGATATTTCTGAAATGTTCAGCATAGTAACACATGTACAGACTATGGTTACAACTAGTAAGTGATAATTTTTTTCAGTTTGAGCTG